ATGTGAAGTGGCTTATGTACACACATTATAGTTAAAAGATTTTCACAAAAAGTAAATACTATATTCGTCTGTAGTAACCTTAGAAGTAATAACAGAGTAAAACCCTCACTTTTCACGAACGTAATGTGAACTAAAATGAAAATGAAGGCATACTTTGGTAGACTACTTTTATAGCTATATATAAAAGGTAAAGAAAATCAATTCTGTAAGCAGTAAAAATCAAAAACTACATCTTTATGTCTTATACTGTGTCCAGTAAATTTGGCGGGAACTCTTGCTCTTACCTCCAGACCTCCAGTTTTTTATTTCAGTCATACTTTTAGAAGAAAATTGCTTTACATGCGATAAGTTTCTTAACTCTAAAATATGTTCGAAAGTTTCAGAAGCATTTTTTATCCTTATTGTATATTCCTAATATCGTTTGAAAATTATTGTATTACACAGGAAAATTTTTATTCAAGCACATGTTGAGTAGCAAATGAAGAGTAGTTTCTCCGATTAAAAATGATTGGTGGCCCTGAAAAGGGCCGTTTATTTCGTTGTTAAGAAGAGAAATTTAAGCTCTTTCGCCACGAATCCTTCGTGCTAACTGTATGTCCTTAGGCATGATGGTAACTCTCTTTGCGTGAATAGCACAAAGATTCGTGTCCTCAAAGAGACCAACCAGATACGCCTCGCTAGCTTCTTGAAGTGCCATGACCGCCGAACTTTGGAAACGGAGATCAGTCTTGAAGTCCTGAGCGATTTCACGTACGAGCCGTTGGAATGGCAGCTTTCGGATCAAAAGCTCGGTACTCTTCTGGTATCTTCGAATTTCACGAAGAGCGACAGTACCAGGACGATAACGATGAGGCTTCTTCACTCCGCCAGTTGCTGGTGCGCTCTTACGAGCTGCCTTAGTCGCCAATTGCTTTCGCGGAGCCTTACCGCCAGTAGATTTGCGAGCAGTTTGCTTAGTACGAGCCATGGCTTCGCAACAAGTCAGAGAACGGAACGATCAAACTAGAACGTTGGTCAACAATAATATGTCGATTGTGCGCTCTAGACGCTGGTTTATATGCCCTGCGAGACTCCACCTTCACGCTTCTTATTGGTTGAATATCTAATAGAGGGGATCGTAACCAGTTTTTCTGTGTCGGTTGGTGCAGGGCGGGGAGGGAGAGCAGCTTCGAGTATAAATAGAGCTGGTTAAAAATTTCGACATCAAAATCGTTTCTGGAGTCGTAAACTGCGTTTTGTGCTGTGTTGACTACATATTTGCGATCACGATGACTGGCCGTGGTAAAGGTGGAAAGGGATTGGGAAAAGGAGGAGCGAAGAGACATAGAAAAGTATTGCGTGATAACATTCAAGGCATTACCAAACCTGCCATCAGACGTTTGGCGAGACGAGGCGGTGTTAAGAGAATCAGCGGATTGATTTACGAAGAAACTCGTGGCGTCTTGAAAGTGTTCCTTGAAAACGTCATTCGTGACGCGGTCACTTATACTGAACATGCAAAAAGGAAAACTGTGACAGCCATGGATGTAGTTTATGCTTTGAAACGACAAGGCAGAACGCTGTACGGTTTTGGCGGTTAAACTACGAAAGAAAAACCAATTTTACTTACAAACGGCCCTTTTCAGGGCCACCAAATATTTCTTAATGTGTGATACATTCTCGTTTGTACTTCTCGTTATCCTAATCCCGATTAATCCTAAAGTATTCTTACCTAGTAATAAACATAAAATTTGTCGAAAACACTTTGATCGTTATTGCACCTCGTATTTTTCACTTCAGAATTAATTCACATTAAATTAGAGAAAGTACTATACATATATTCAACGAAGTAAGAATAACAGAAGGTCGATTCATTAACAGTTATTTTATTGTGTAACAAAAGTTAAAGGCAATTCTTATTCCTCTTCGGTAAATCAATGTCGGCATTTGGAATGTGTTTCGAAGTATCTACTTTTGCTACTATTGTTAGCATTACAATTCATTATGTAATTTGAACTTCCTCGAAATTTTTAAATAATGAGACTTGGATATTTAGTAAAGAAGTGAACACGAAACTCATTCTCGGATAGTTACTAAAGAAGTGAACACAAAACTCATTTTTGGATAGTTAATAAAGAAGTGAACACGAAACTCATTGTCAATTTTATCTCTCTCGAGAAAGAAGAATTCTTGGCTCTGAAAAGGGACGTTTTCGGAACTTATAGTAGTAGTAGGCAATATAATTTATTACTCCGCTTTTAAATTTATATACATCCTCTTAGTAACTGCTTTCTTCTCTAATTGTGGCTTGGCAAGTTTTTCGGGTAATATAATCCTCATCATGAAAGATCTCAGGTAAACCAGCCTGGGTTTTATTGTGGTTCTTATTACGTCATCTCAATGTGACCATGGATTCTCTGTTATAAATGACAAATTATGACAATTCTTTCCAATTATGTTCGTACATGTGTCCCTATATAGTAAGAGCATCAGATGTAAATACAGGTAGCTTTCCTTCTACGAATTCTACTCCCAACCGATTTGGTTACATTTCTATTTTCTGGTATTTTATCAGTGTTTTCGATCATTCCTTCAATACCTTTTGGCGATATACATATAGACGCATAATGTTCATTCCGTATATTCAAAATGTGAAATTAATTATCCTCGATTTAATATATCGCACTAAATCGCTTTCTGTCTTTGTAATAGGTACAAACAATAACAACCCTGTTCAGTAGTGTTCAAATACATTCACCTTTAACGTATATTATACAGAAGTATTTACATATGTAAACTATCTATCGTCTCGAAAATTTCAAATGTCTAAAACCACAACAGACGATTGAGTACCATAGAATTTATAAGCAGCTAAAGCTAAATGAAGGAACATTCTTATTTGAAGAAATTAGTTCATTCTTGTAAATGGCTATCGAAATCTTTCTTTGTCTACATTTCTGTTGTCGATATTATTCTTAGAGCTAAATACGGAATTGATTCTACAGATTTACAATATTTTGAACTGCCTTTAGTTTTACTGAATTTTCAATTAAAGTTAGTAATAGTCTTGTTGATGTTGATGTTGACTAAATGTGTACAAGGAAAGTAAAGAGAGTTGATTAAATGTGCATAAGGAGAAAGTAAAGAGTGTTGATTAAATGTGCACAAGGAAAGTAAAGAATGTTGATTAAATGTGAACAAGGAAAATAAAGATTCAGATTGTTTTTAGTAATAATCTTATTGTTGATTAAATGGGCACAAGGAAAAAAGATGTATCTATTTCAAATGTACATATGAGCATGTATTGTATTTATCGCTTAACGAAGCGTGAACCGTGGGCTAAGCCGTAAGCGTGCTTCCTCCATGTAGTATATGCTCTAAGGGGCCAAATTGCTCTTTCCTCGAATTCCCGCTAAATCATGTGTGTCAATGTGGCTCCCACCACTCAATTATCATAGTGTATAGCAAAACAGAGCTAATTATACTATTGAGGGGCACATGGACGTAGTTAACGATAATTAGTAGGGAAGTTAGTGTAATGAGGGGAAGAAGTTCGGCAGTCGTGGTATATAAGAAATTGGATCGATACATTTCGCATTGTTCACAATGATTTCGACAAGGGGAAAGTGCGTTATTTTGGTCTTCACCGGTTTAGTTTTGAGTAGCAATATTTGCTGCGTTTTAGCTTCAACCGCGTCAGAAATCATCGATGACGATGATGTTAACTTGAATCATATTGAAAATGTACAAGATTATTTGATCAACGGTAAATATAATTCGTTATAACTAAACAAAAACTTCGTGGCGTTTCCACTTCTGTTTAGAAATTAATTTTTTTACATTTTTTACATTTATCTTTTTACATTGAATATAAAAAATCGAAATTCAGGTACGTTTTCTGACGAAGACGAATTTCCTGATATGGGCAGTGTAAGGATTGTTGGAGGAGAATACGCGCAATTGAATCAGTTTCCGTTTATGGCTATCGTCCATCAATTGATGGGTAAAGGAGTGATTTCAAAGTGCGGTGGCAGTATTATTTCGTCGAGATGGGTATTAACAGCGGGCCATTGCATGGGCTCCAAACCACGTTTAGTCGTATTCGGTGTTAACGATAAAACAGGGATCGGCTACAATTTCTACCGAGGACCAGGAATCGCTATGTGGAACGAACAAGGTGTTCTTCATCCCGGTTATAGCAAGACTGTAAACGATATTGCTTTGCTCTATATGCCACAAAATATTCCGTTCGGAGGTAATATTCTCAAATAGGGAATATTTACATTTTCGTAAGAGAATCCTCTCTTAAAATAGATCATTTCTTTGGTTGTTAGAAAATATCCAACCTATTCGACTCGCGGGATTTAATCACGGAACATTTGCCGGTTGGAGGAGCGCAGTCATTGGCTGGGGAGTAGACGGTCCAACCGGGTCGGGAACAGACAGTTTAAAGTACGCGGTACTATCAATCATTTCAAATTACGCATGCTCTACATATTGGAGCATTACTGAAAAACACATATGCACAGCCATACAAAATCAAGAAGCATGCAGGGTAAGTGAATATCGTTCTCGTTTGGTTCGGAACGTCTTGAGTAAAAACGTAAGCATTCATGCATTCGTTGTATGTTCAGGGTGATAGCGGAGGTCCACTAGTCGTATACATTGATGGAATGCCTCTTCAAATCGGAATCGTCAGTTATGGAGATGGGGCTTGTCCAAGCGGCAGGCCTGGTGTATTTACGAGGGTTTCTGCTTTCGCAGACTGGATCGCACATAACACTGGACTTTATTTTTATTAGTAAAATAGCCCTAACGTACATATTATCTACTTTATACGATATACAACAAATATGCATGTTAAATATTAATAACACTTTGGCCAGTATTCAGAGTCGTTACTTATATTTAAGGTCGTCTTAAGCATTTCCTATCCCTGTCTATCCCATATTTCCAGTCCCTATCTTATATAGGAAACAGGGACTTAAGCAATTGATTAAGGCGATTTCAAACATAAGTAACGACTCTGAATACCGCCCTTTGTATACATAAAAAACGGCTTCACATTTTGAAATATGACAATTTTTGTCAATAATAACAATTAAATAAAAAGATTTTACCCATTAATCAAGGAAATCGTTTTCTTTTACTTGTGGAATTTTTTAACGTGATTGCTTATCATGAATGTTTACCCGAAATAGAAACATTAAAATAGTTTAATATATTCATTAATTAAGCACTCGTCTATTTAATTAAGTATTCAAACAGAGTGAATGTATAAAAGTTAGTTTAAAATAACATGCAGCCTATATACATGTGTTCGAAATAATGGGCCCAGAAGCGACAGTCAGCCGGCTGCTCCTTTGTTCTCAGAAAACATTCAACGGTTGAACACCTGGTCAACTACAAAGGGATTGTAAAGGAAGGGAATGAAGAGAAAGAAGGGGACTTTTCTGACCTGCGCCGGCTGCACCACCATGGTTAGCTAGGGGAGGAACTCTCCTAGCAAGCCGACTAGGTATGCAGCCAGTTTTGGAACACCGATAAAACTAACATGTGCTCAACGAATGACCTCGAACAGAACTCCCGCAAAGAATACTGAATTTTGTAGAATGTTATATTTCTGTCTAAGCGTCTGTCTTCGAATATGTTATATGCTTCAGTTGAAATAGTTGAAATCTAATGAATTTTGACAACGTATCTCATAATTTATAACGATAAACCAAAGAAAACATTTTATAACCAATGTAGAAACATGATATTTAAAGGATTAAAAACAATATTGTTCCCATTCTGAAACGACTGTGGCTCATAAAAGAACCATTTTGTAGGTTATCAATTTCCTCTCCTTTTATTGATTAAGTATTTAAGCAAGATATTTCAATAATTTATTTCTTTTACATTCTGTCGTATATTTTGAGCAATTTCTCGTACAGGACTCTCGAAGAATTTTTTAGGTATCAATAATTTCGTACTTTTTTGGCATTGGCGTATTTCATCATGGACCCTGCTTTTCGATCGAGATTTCGTTTTATCTTCTGATACACCTCGTACAAGTTGGTACACTTATCAGGAATGGAAAGTGATGGAAAGTTTTTGCCATGCATGCACATGAAATCTAGTATTTCTACCGGAAAGCAAATGTCATTTATATTTAAAAAGAATTCTCTATTATCGCACAATTTTGATGAAGACGCTTGATAAAATTCTTTACCTGTTTATAGAAATACACGTCACAGGGTTGACAAATTGGTGTGCACTTTGGAGGTATGATTTTAAGCGTGCAGGTTGCACGACCTAAGTCATCGGAAAAAATTTCATCATATG